TACCCGAAAAAAAAAAAAAAAAAAAAAAATTATAAGAAAAAGAGTGATACTATTGCATGTTCATTGTTCTTTTGCCTAAATAAAAGCCTTCTCAATATCTTCATAAAAAAAAGAATATTAGTCATAATTGACTTTTTATGTTTGAAGCAACAGTGCAATCAGTGCGAATGTTTTGTTATATAACAAAATGGGTTGATGTTCAGTTTAAGCCTTTTTGAGCATCCTCTATGCTAAGGGCTATGAAGAGAGCAGGCGAAGTAAAATATTAGTTTTTACATTTCAATCGCAGATAAGGCGTGAATTAAAAATGCTCCTATATGACAAGTATTGAGTTGGCCAAAAGGTTCGTTCAGTTTTTTCTGTAAGATGGCTCTATTAGCACTTAGCTGTCTTTAACTTCATTAGAAACAATTTTGTTAGATTGTATGTGACAGCTGTCATATCAGTGTGCATTTAAAAAAAGACATCAAAATTGGTGAATTTTTGTGTAGCCATTTTAATATTGAAGATGAAAGAAAAAAGCCACATTTTTGGCCTATTATGCTTTATTATTTCAAGAAAGGTAAAAACGCAACTGAAATGCAAAAAAAAGATTTGTGCAGTATATGGAGAAGGTGCTGTGACTGAGCGAACGTGTCAAAAGTGGTTTGTGAAGTTCTGTGCTGGAGATTTCTCGCTGGACAATGCTCCACGGTCGGGTAGACCAGTTGAAGTTCACAGCAATCAAACCGAAACAATAATTGAGAACAATCAACGTTATACCACGAGGAAGATAGCTGACATACTCAAAATATCCAAATCAAGTGTTGAAAATCATTTGCACCAGCTTGAATCGCTTTGATATTTGGCTTCCACATAAGTTAAGTGAAAAAAAAACCTTGACCGTACTTCTGCATGCGATTCTCTACTTAAACATAATGACAATGTTCCATTCTTTAAATAAATTGTGATGGGCTATGAAAAGTGGATATTGTACAATAATGTGGAATGGAAGAGATCGTGGGGCAAGCGAAATGAACCACCACCAACTACACCAAAGGCCGGTTTTCATCCAAAGAAGGTGATGTTGTGTATATGGTGGGATTGGGAGTCCTCTATTATGAGCTCCTTCCGGAAAACCAAATGATTAATTCCAACAAGTACTGCTCCCAATTAGACCAACTGAAAGAAGCACTTGACGAAAAGCATCCAGACTTAGTCAATAGAAAACACATAATCTTCCATCAGGATAACACAAGACCACATGTTTCTTTGATGAGCAGGCAAAAACTGTTACAGCTTGGCTGGGAAGTTCTGATTGATCTGCCATATTCACCAGACATTGCACCTTCGGATTTCCATTTATTTAGGTATTTGCAAAATTCTCTTAATGGAAAAATTTCAATTCCCTGGAAGACTGTAAAAGGCACCTGAACAGTTCTTTGCTCAAAAAGATAAAAAGTTTTGGGAAGATGGAATTATGAAGTTGCCTGAAAAATGGCAGAAGGTAGTGGAACAAAAAGGTGAATATGTTGTTCAGTAAAGTTCTTGGTGAAAATAAAAAATGTATCTTTTATTTTTACTTAAAAGCCAAAGGCACTTTTTGGCCAACCCAATATAATCATTGTTTTCCAAATAAACGATATAGAGATTAAGTATAAATGCTGAGGAATTTGAAGTAATATTAAATT